TCTGCAGAAAAGAAGCAAATGGTATAAAAACCCCACGCTGCTGAAGAATGGGTTATTAGTGATCGTGAAAGAGGACAACATGCCTCCACAGATGTGGAAACTAGGACGCATAATCGACCTGCATCCTGGTAAGGACGGTGTCACACGCGTTGTCACGATCCGGACGGCGCAAGGCGTTTATCGCAGACCGACGACGCAGATTGCAGTACTCCCGATAGATGATGAAGTCACTCCATGAATGATGATGTTTGAGGCACCCACCCAGTGTATGCCTCACCTGGGGGAGGATGTTATAAGAAACATGAAGAACAAACTCCAATTTTGTATCAGTGTATCTTTGAACCACTTTGAATTGAACGTTTACTTTGACTCTACTGTAATGACAAGTCCATAAGAGAATCAATTCAAGGAAGTAAGGTTAGCCAACAACACAAAACAAATTTTCAGAATTAATTACGCATTCGTGCGGATAACACGCGTTTCGTTAAAACGGCAAATAAAAATCAAATTACAGTCCATTGTTCTTTTCTCCGCTAACTATCTGAGGACACATACTGATATTAACAATCTATTACTTTAAGGGGGTATTCCCAATCTTTTGCCTTTTTTTGGCCTGTTTTTCAATTAATTTTTTTTCAAGGAAAATGAATAGCAATGCGCCTAACTCTTTGGGATTCTTGTTTATTGAACATTAAATTTTACAAATAAATTTTTTTCGACATAAAAAAAAGACATTATTGACGTCACAAAATGGCGGCAAACAGACCCCTGTTCGCCGCAAACGACTGGACAGGCGAAGACTTTTCTCTGGAACGGCTTCATCTGAAACAGATTTCGTGATGAAATTAATAATCTGCATAAGATTCTCTGGAGCTTCTCCCGTTGGCTGCAAAAAATCTTGCAAATTAACAAAATGGCGGCCATATGAAAAAACAGGCGATTTTTAGCCCGCTTTTTTGCAGCTTTAAGGTGCTTCAAACAATGGTAAATGTCAATATTTTTGGCTGAAAGTGGGAGAAGCTCCAAACAATTCAATAAGGAACAAAATGCGCAAAGATTCAAGTCAATATCTCTTATAGTTTCTGAGAAAAATCTTCGCCCGATAAAAAAATGTGGTTTCGAGAAAAACGCGTTTAAAGTTTTGACTTTAGTTAAAACCATTTTGGGGGTTCTTACCATTAGTCAGCTATGCCTGGACACCGAATTCGCTGATCGGAAAACGGCTTGGGGGGATGAAAGTATATAGTCTAAAGTACAAAAAAACGTGAAAAAAAAATTTGATTTTTTGAAAAAAAAAGATCGGGAATACCCCCTTAAGTTAAAATAATTTATCCTTGGATTTAATTTTTGCTGAAAATGGGATTTGATAAATATATAGCCTTGTTCATTCTGCAAGCCTTGTTATATATTATTCAGAATATGACCATATCATATTATAACCATAGAGGTAACTCTCAGACTAGTAGCAACAATCAATTCGAAACTAACGATTTTAAATTGGCTCACTACTTGACTAGCCTATTGGTCCCAAGCAAATCGACTAACGTACCCCATTCTAGTATAAATTCCAGTACTACACTATGTTTGTTTTGATTCGCTATGAAAGTTTGACAGATAAAATGAGGAGTTAGTGGATTTTCCCGAGGGGGGTGACACATCTAAATCTCAATTCTAGATGCTCAAAAAATCTCACACTAGCGAATCAATCTTCGAAAAATCATCTTTCATTTCTCGCATCTACTTGCATCGTGCTTCATCTTTTTGCAGGAAATCTTCAAAATCGACATAAATCTTCCTTCTATCTACTCAGCGTGCGTGCAGCTAGCCACAGCAAAACACAATCTTTTCTGCATCGTAGATAGAGTCGTCCCCCTCGGATTTTCCTATGTTTCGAGGGGTGCATCGATTAGCTTGGGACCGAAGATAGTACCAGAGCTTAGCCAAAAAGTTGAGCTAGTTTCTTCTGGACCTTCTGGTCTTAAATTTACCTCCCAGACAACCAGAAGTCGTATAACAATGTGCAGACAGTATCGTAAATTGCTACAGTTTAAGTCAAAATCGCATATAGGAATGACATGCATCGCATTATGTTTAAGTGAAATCGTATAGAATGCAAATTTCCGACCTATATGCGATGATTCATTTTTTCGTCGTACTGTAAAACAAATCAAATTGGATTACATCGTATGACTTTTCAAAGTGAATTTGTTATTACAGATTAAATCCTATATGACGTTAAATCAACCCGTTTGAAATTTAATTAAAAATTTACACGTGTATGGCCTCCACTTCTATACGTATAAGCCATTTCTTTGCATTCTATACGATTTGTTTGTTTGTATATATGTTTGTACATCACGAAAACAACTTTGAATATACGTGCATTCTGGTTGTCTGGGCTCTATGCTAGTAGGTCCCGAAGAAACGTGCTCAACTTTTTGACTCAGCTCTGGTACTATCTTCGGTCCCAAGCTAGTCGATTCACCCCTCGAAACATAGGAAAATCCAATAACCCCTCATTTTATCTGTCAAAATTTCATAGCGAATCAAAACAAACATTGTGTAGTACTAGAATGTCGACTAGAATGGGGTACGTTAATCGATTTGGTTGGGACCAATAGGCTAGTCAAGTAGTGAGCCAATTTAAAATCGTTAGTTTCGTATTGATTGTTGTTACTACCTAGATCACATGTTTCCAAGTGATATTGAACAACATCGCCAGGCTTTTAGTAGAACAACGAGACATTGAGCAATATATTTGATAAGTTTGACACTGTTTTGTAATCGAATTTATCTGAGTTGCTAATACAGTATTATTCACCCATATATTCTTGTTTTCGTTCGAACCGTATTTTCCATACAAAAAAAAAAGTTTTTTGTATGGAAAATACAGTTCGAACGAAAACAAGAATATGGGTGATTGACTACAGCAAAAATTTCGTATTACTCACGCTCTAGAACGCAAATTTGTTGTTGACTTGCCATCTTCGCGAGTAATGTTTGTCATGTGCGTTTTTGACATTTGCTTCCAAAAGCAAAACTAATCAAATTCAATGGATGAAAACAGTGGTGCCAATTCAAATGGTAATCATTTTGATTGAAAGGGGTTATATAATACATATTTTTCAACGACAAATAACTTTGTTTCAAAACGCAAATAACTTGAAAATCAATGATAAATCACTTCGATTCGTAGTGCCGCATAATAGACTGAGTCAAGTGCAAGAGCATTTGGATTAGATGTGACAACTTTTTACCGTGCACAAGAGTAAAGACGCCAAACGCAACTTGGCCATCAAAGCAACACGGAAAGTAACTGTTCCTAGTGGGACTGACGTGCGTAACATTTCCTACTTCATTGGCGTTTACGAGAGCTCTGTAACTCTTTACTCCTATGGAGAAATCTCATATGTAACTGTCAGTCTATGTGTGAAACATGGCTTCATCTCCTACATAATTAAATCGAACTCTATTTCGAAAATGTTATGAATCAACACACCACTGAATTCAAAATATTAAAACTGTGTACGGTGCGAGACCGAAATCCGTTCACCTAAGAAATGAATCGAAATCCGTACATACCATATAAAACGCCTTCTTTTTGCATGAGGTGCACGGACTTAGATCCTGCACGGATTTCGGTCCCGCACGGTACTGCTGTCTGTGCAATACAAGTTAGTTGGTACAACGCTCTTAATTGGCCATAACATATTAAATAGACAATGAATCCCAAAGTGGACGTACCAAAACCGAAAATCCCACAAACCTTAAGAATGTCGCACCCCAGAGCCCCCCACGGTGCACACTCAGTGAAGACACTTAAGTTGGTTGATACAGTATACACAAATCAAATGCTCTAAATTGGCCATATGGGAATATTGAACACTATAAAGAAGCAGACCGCTATAAAGGACATTCCTACAACGCAAAACTACCACTACTAATCCATCTGAACCAGAACACAATAAGAAACCACTAACCGTATTATGCTTCCTCTAAGCGTAGAACCAATCCCTAAACCTATTCTAATCCACCTGAAATGACTAACGAATGGAGGACTTTGACTACCCAGCCATGCAATAGTCTCATTCCGTGCCTTATGGCAACTTGATGAGTCTATTGAGCTAATCTTCTGGCATCACCCAGGGGAGACTTGGTCCTGTACCCAAATGTTTAACTTATCTCCTTTCCACTCAGCTACTCGCAATTTCTTGTGATATATTGGGCGGAATATTATTATATGAGACAATTTAATGCAGACGTCTTTCCAAATTTGGCAGATCGACAGGTAATCGGTGAGTTACAACGATGGTTGCTAATCAACAACTCGACAACATCTCATCGTAAACGCCTGCTATGAGAATTTCCCATTCCAAACAATAACGAAATGACGTCATCGAACTATCGATCAACTACCCTGTTTACCACCTGGTACCTTATACAGGTATACCTCGATATAACGTAACTGTCACTTATGACTTCCATCGTCGCTTTCTCGTAAATTATCATTCAAACAAGCAAAGTAATATCACCATCGGACAGATGAGATAATTCCCCATTTATTGGTCATATTAATTTGTATGATTCAATTGTTATTAGCGAGACATAGACGATGGAAGTTAAAAGTGACAGTTTCGTTATATCGAATAATCGATGAGCAACCTCTCCGAACCCCGACGGTGCAAAACCTTATTACCGATAAAGGTGTAATTTGAGAAGGGCACAAAGCATCTGGGAGTTTGCATTGCTGTCATTTTCAACATAGGCAATCAAACTTGAAGTTCTTTTTCATTATTCACTGTTTTCACCATATTTCTAAATAATTACTCACTACACCACTGTGCGACTGTCAGAATTTCTTTCTATCTAATCGTACCACCAGTATGTCCGTATGTCGAAGCAAAGCAGTTCGAATATGATTTTCAGGAGAAGAAAAATACAACTTCAGGTTACATCTTTATTTATTTTAATATTGTTGAAAATATAGCGATACAATCTGATTATTCAATAGTGGTAATAATATATTAACTAGCATTATGTGCCTTCCAAATTAAGCCAATCACGATCAAGCAGGTAATTACAATTTTCAAATGTTTGCACCCTATCCGCATTCGATACCGAGTACTATGGGAGTTCAATTTCGCGTTTGGTGAAAAAATGTTTCAAATTGTTTTGTTTTTTTTTACGAATAGTTTATGCTTCAACGGAGAAAATGTGGGAAAAGTGTGCAGGTCCGCTCGGGAATATTTCAAATAGGTAGGTTCCAGGTATAATGGTAGACGGAATCTCAACCTTGGACACGGTGTACCGTGGTCGGGCGGGTGTGTTACAAACGAGTTTTCTTTGCACGATAATACGATTAAAATTTTTAACTAACAAACAAATTCGTCTGAGTTTAAATAAATAAATATAGCTAAAGGTTATTAAATATGAAACAACCCGATTTTGAGATCAATTAGCCTTGTAACGATTGGTTGAGTTTTTTTTTTGTTGTTGATTCGGTTCCCGCTATCGAATGCGAATTTGTGCAGCAACATGCTGCGGTATTTCTGTTGTCCAATTAATCGAACGAAATTTTAAGCTTTAAGTTTCAAATCTATTCCACTATGGGATAAAACAGTAATGAATATTTGTGTTTATATAAAATTGTGGTTAAAATGTGCAATTGGTGAAAATTAAAAACTTGAAAACGTGATTCTTCCGCACTGCTCCGTCTACTTTAAGCGCCTAAGAGTAGCTAACTTCTACTTGGCATTGCCATTGTTTTCTTGCTGCTGGCGGTCTGAGATGAGCCGGTCCCATTTTTTGGTTTTCATCGTACGCTGTTGGTACGAGTCCGGATTGCTGAGGCTACGTTTGCAGGAGTTCACCGGGGCACTGCTCACGATACGGTTGATTTCCTGTAGATCCTGAGGAGGAAACTGAAATGGTTATTTTGGGAATCCTGACTGACAGAGAAGCCGGAGGCCTACCTTTGCCGGACTGCGATCGAAATGGAACGTGCGCGCATTGGGCGACTCCTTCAGGTCATTGGTTTTGTCCATCGGAGTGACGTACAGCGAAATTCGCCCATCCACCTGTTTCGGTGACAACAGTACGCTTCGATTGGTTGCTCTCGGAATTGGAGACAGGATCAAGGAACGCTGTAGAGAGAAGCAATCGTTTGAGAGCAACCTTGGCAAAGAATATTACAGGAAAACTTACCTCATCCTCATTTCCAAACTGAATCGCTATATTTTGCATCACTTTGATGTACACCGTATTGTAGAACTGGATGATGTCGCCCCGTTCTTCGCCGCCATGCTGCACGGAAACACCGGCCATGTCACCCGGCTGCACTCGACGGGTATCTTCACCCCCTTCTCTATTGCCATGCCCATATTGCGATTGTTGTTGCTGCTGCTGCTGTTGTTGTTGATCCGCTGTTAGACGGGAAATGAATACGCTCCGGTACACGTGACTGTACGACTGCGGTAGGGTGCGGTACACCTTCATGATTTCGGCGAATTTGTGGTTTATTTTTTTTATTCTGGCAAACAGATAGATCGAACACATCACCATCTGATCTAGGTGGCGATCGCGCATCAGTTCCTTCGTACAGTTGACGATCGAGTACTCGAAGATGGTCCAGATCTGCTTGATTATGTCCGCCGACAGTAGGTTCAGGTGTGTGCACAGGTGGTTCATGCGTAGCGCCGCCGTCGAGTAGTACTGCAAAAAGGGGAAAGTGATGGAAGGACTCAGTAAATGGATAGAATTTTTTGGAAACATTTTTTGTATCATTCAAACATAGACCCGTCGTCGATGGTTTCCTAATGGAAATTGTACTTCTCAGGTAAAATCCAAGGAACTTTTGCAATAGGGAAATGGATGTAATGTCGGCCTAAATGCCCCTAATTTGGGCCCCTACATAAATTCAGCAATCGACTAAATTTTCAATAGCGACCAGAAATATCCATTAGTACCGTCCCAATGACGCGTTCATCTAGATAAAATTGATAAATAGCAGATTTTTAGCGATGGGCCCAATCTTAGATCCATAGGCCAACATTAGAGCCATTTCCCCTAGCAGGTATTTTCTAAATTCTAATTTAGGCATACCAAGAGATTTCTGATGAATATTTCAAGGGAGTTTTATGCAAAGCAAACTATGTTTGTGGGGGAGGTCGCTCATCGATTCTTCCGGTCCGCCTCCTAGTATCGTGCTATAAGGTACCAGATGGTAACCAGGGTAGTTGATCGATAGCTCGATGACGTCATTGAGTTAGCGTCTGCAATGGAAAATTCTCATAGCAGGCGTTGACGATGAGACGCTGTCGAGTTGTTGATTAGCAACCATCGTGGTAACTCACCGATTACCTGTCGATCTGCTAAATTAGGAAATACGTCTGCATTGAATTATCTCATATAATAATATTGCGCCCACTCTGGTTTAAGGTCCGTTCAGACTATCTGATTTCATGGCCTGATTTTGGCTCCCACCATTATGAAAAATCTGCTCGAATTTACTTTCGACACACTTTGTTGAACCCCCCTGTTTGCTGGTGTTCACGGTGCTTGCACATGTCGAAACAAAACTGTATCAGGAATCAAAAGTAAATACTTCCACCATGAATTACCGGAAAATTGCTCTAGCTTCAACAAGCGTATTTGCTTTTATTATTTTAAATAAAATGAGCAGCAGAAGGTGAACTTTGCTCAGGAGGAACACCGGCAGGGATCTGGTGCATCTTGTCCTTCAAGAGCTGCGATATGAAGGGAAGCCAGGATGTCGATATGAACTTTCGACAAGCTAGTGAGAAAAGTTCTTCATACATCTACATGATTCCTTGAGTTCTGAAAATTTCTGTTAAGAACTCAACTATGCATATTTTTTGAAGACCTTCGGACGTCCCTGAAGTTTTGTTTCTGTTCTCTGGTAAAATTTCTTTAAGAACAACAAACTTTCCTGAAGATCTGCAAATTTCTCGGTAGTTCTACAGATTCCTTTAGAGTTGTATGTGTTTTTCAGAAGTTCTGCAAATTTTCCTAAAAATCTACAAAGTTCCTGAATCCCTGCAGATTTAAGATCCTTAAAGATCAACAATTATCTCTGATGTTCACAAAATTTCTAATAATCTACGAACTTCTCGAAAGTTCTGTAATTTTCTCTGTAGATTTTCATGATTCAATGAATATCTGCAAATATCTCTGAACATCTACACAATTTCCTGAAGAATTAATTTCCGGATGTTTTAGGAAGTTTTACTAATTTTTCTGAAGTTGTGCAATTATCTCTAAAGATCAGCGAACTTACATAAAGTTCTGTAAATTTCTCTTAAAATCAAAGAACCACAGTAAAATTATGAAATTTATTTAAAAATTTACTATCTACTCTCTGAACTTTTCTCAAGTTCTTAAAATTGCTTACAAATTCTGTAAAGTTTTCAGAAGTACTGTATTTCTGCTCTAAAGCGAGCTGCCCTTAAGTTCAATAAATTTCCCAGTAGATCTCCGACCTTCTCGAAAGATCTGTAAATTTCTTTGTGGATTCTTGAATTTTCATAAAGTTCTGCAGATTTATCAAAAATTCTTTGAAATTCCCCAAAGCTCTACAAATTATTTGAAAATATTTGAACTTCGCTAAAATTTAATAAATTTATCTGAAGATTTACGAATTTCTGTGAAGTTGTGTAAACACTTCTAAAGATCGGCGAACTTTCCCGACGTTCTGTGAGTTTTACTGAAGTTTTGCAAATTTTTCTAACAACGTACGAACTTTCAGACGTTGTACAGACTTCTCTGAAGTTCTTCAGATCTATCTATTTCCAACTTCCATGGAGTTCTGCAAAAGCTTGTACTTTTGTACTTCGCTGCGATTTGTTTTTGGAATTGAGGTACTTTTCTGACATTTAACGAATTCTTCTGAAGATCTCACATATTTTTTTTAAGCTGTGAAGCTTTCTAAAAAAATCCTGCAAATATTTTTCAAGTTCTGTAAAGTTGTCTGGAGCTGAAAAAAAAACTTGAGGCTCAATAAATTTCTCAGTAGAGCTGCAAACTTCTCTGAAGTTTTGTAAATTCCTCGGTAGGCTCTCAGGCTACCCTTAAGAGCTGAACATTTCCCTGATGATCTTCTGAATTACCTAAAGCTCTCAAAATTTATCTTTCAGTAGATCTCCAAACTTCTGTGAAATACATTATATTTCACTGCCGATTCTTGGACTAAGTCTTGTCTGAAGTTATGCGAATTTCCCTGAAGATTTGCAAAATTTCGCTTATAGTTTTACAAATTGATCTGAAAATATTTTAGCTTGCTTGAAGCTTTGAAAATTTCTTTTATCATTTATCTGTAGATCTACGATCTCTCTTGTGAACTTTTTATGAATTTCTGCAAATTTCTTTTAATTTCTGTAAAATTTTCTCAAGTTTTGTAGTTCTGTTCTCAAGATCTACGAACTACCCTGAAACTCAACAAATTTCTCAGTAGATCTCCGAAGCTCTAAAAACAATCTTAGTAGGCTCTCAGACCTGCTGTCTGGCATGCTTCGTATTATATGAACACTGTTTTGTTGACCATGCCATGATCAAAGCCATTACGGCATCTTTCGGCCAATCACACAGGAAAATAAAAATCAGTCAAACCATACACAGGACATTATTATATAGTGAAATCGGTTTACCTTCCCTAATAAAAATACCATACCGGAACGATAACCCAAATGATTGAACTATTCCACAAATGGTTTGGATGATACCATATACATTTTATTAAGGTTGCTGCTGGATGCCATCAAAACACAAATCAAGCGTTCTTTAGCGGTTCAAATCCGTGAAATTTTAGAAAAAAAAATCAATATTTACACCTAGCTTGCGGCTATTTTGCTGGGTGAGTCGAATGAAAATTAAACGTAAACCTATTTCGTACGACAAATCAAACGTCGAATCTAATCATCCTCTCGAAAAAGTGTGAACGCATCCGAACATTGCATCCGACAACATTATCGAGCAGTCCGCTCGAATCAGACCAACAAATCAGATAGTCTAAACGTACCTTAAACATACCTTTACCGGCTCAGGTTAGCGACAATCGAAGAAAGGGAAATGCCTGGCCCAGAATCGACGTTAAACGTCGCCATGGCAATGAAGGAGAACCGATTTACACTGCTTCTGTCAGTGGGACCAACGCAATTGACCACTCAGTGACCACGGCTGACACCACCGGTTTCCCCTCCAAAATATTGGATCTACCTGTCTGGATTACATCCGCTAATAACTGTTGAGGACATTAAAAAAAAAATTCTTCTCGCTGCCTGGATTCCTGCTAACGTTGTGCTCTTCGTTCCCAAGACAGTAGATATGGCGAGGCTGACTTTTATCTCCTTCAAATTTGGCTTGCATCCATCGTTGAAAGAACTCGTTCTCGATGCTTCTACGTGGTCGGATGGGATATTGTTCCGTGAATTAATCAACTACTCAAAAATACAGTTTGCAACCAACGGCAGTCCACTGACAACTAAGGCTCTCTGATGTGGAAGGTGGAAGTGGAAACCCTAGGGTGAGCACCATTACCAATAATCATTCTTTGCGACATTCTGTGGAGAGGTGAGTATCTGTACCATTCACCAATTACTTCCACGCCTCATGGTTCCATGTTGCTGAACACGACCCGTGATGCCCGTTTTTTTTTGTAACCATCGTAGAAACGTTAGAACAAATGTGTGTATCGATGATGATTGGATCCAAGTGACTATTACCAACAATCAATACGAAACTAACGATTTAAAATTGGCTCACTACTTGACTAGCCTATTGGTCCCAAGCAAATCGACTAACGTACCCCATTCTAGTATAAATTCCAGTACTACACTATGTTTGTTTTGATTCGCTATGAAAGTTTGACAGATAAAATGAGGGGTTAGTGGATTTTCCTATGTTTCGAGGGGTGAATCGATTAGCTTGGGACCGAACATAGTACCAGAGCTGAGCCAAAAAGTTGAGCTCGTTTCTTCGGGACCTTCTGGTCTTAGAGTTACCTCTATGCTATTACTAGGTACCGTTTAGGTTCCTCCAGACAAAATCAACCTGGGCTGTTCTGAAGTTGGTCTGATAGCAAGATTCGACCAGTGATTTCTGATCCTTTACCAATAGCTAGCTCATTGTTGATTGATGGCATGGATTTCCACAATCTTTATCAGAGAAATCTCGAGCGCAACCACCTAGGACGGATTCTCGATTTGTTCTTTTGCCCTACGGATTTTCCTGTGGAAATCTCGAGATCTGTTTCATCACTCTTACCAATTGAGCTTCATCATCCGCCACTGGTCGTCTGCTTTCCATCTCTAGTAGATCACGGTGTACCGCTGCATGATATGAATGAGAGTGATGAGCTTGCGCTAGACTACAACAAGATTGATTTCGATGTGCTGCTGGATTTCCTTTCTGCCATTGACTGGGATGTTCATCTCGATGGACTAAATCACATAACATATGTGGAACTCGATCATCAAAAATCGACCCCATTTCAGTGATTTCAAGTGGTATAGAAGGACATCGATCTGTCAAATTGATTATACCAGCTGTAAAATGAGAAGGGGATCAAGGGGCTTGTCAATTCTTTTAAATAATTCTACCGTGGTTTATAATTCTATGCGTTGCTAGCACTCCTGAACTCATGTATTACTATTTCCTCACCTTGATTCACACAGCAAAACTGTGGTAAACTTAGAAGA